ATCGTGTTTCTGTTCCGTCCGTGCTTCTGGAAGAATTAGGGGTCTCTGGGGGTTAAAAGTAGACGAGGAAAATCTGTTGCGTGTAAATAATTGCCACGGAAAAGGAAGACAGAACGGAGGAAACATTTCATTAACTTTCACAAGACGAAACGTTCCATTGTGGAAACATCACACTTATACTATACGAGAAACGAAAAGCTATATTATACGGAAAATTTGTGTATATCACAATTATAATTTGCGATAATATTCTACATCACATTGTAATTTTGGTGCAACATGGTATTTTATATATTTTAAATTTCGATTAGTAGTCGTTTGCTCTTTAGTTCGATCACTATTGATCGTTCAAAATGTAACTTCCGAGATTCAAAAATAAAGTATATTTATTTCTAACCATTCTGGAATTACAACACCAGAACTATTAAAATGGTCAAAATGATCAATTTATAGTTTCTACTTTATTAAATACTTTATTAAATATGTTTAAAAATTTTCGACTTTCCGTAGAAGCTTGTGTATACTATTGTATTCTAAAGTTGTTCAAGGTTTTTCATTTTTAATGTCTCAGCGATAGAAATTTTATGCTTCGATTCTCGGTAGTTTTAGCGATAACTATGTTTCTAATACCTTGTTGTATTCTTTTATTACATCGACAAACGTATGTCGTTAACGATGTAGATACCAATTAGAATGTAAATCTCCTCGATTATGAAAAACCAGTTAATTTTTCAATTTCAAGAAAAAAATCAATCGAAAAAGATGATTGCAGACTTTGATCAACCATGTTCATAAATCACGCCAATGGAATATTTTCCGATGATTATATGTGCGTGTGAATAACTTAAATATGTGTGTGTGTGTCAGCATTTGCGAAATCGATTTCGCGTTATTTAATTATTTGAAAGATATTGATTAATCTCACTGAAGTAATAGACACGATAAATATACAAATAATAAATTTTAACACTTTGAAAACTTGACTATAGTTTATGTAACAACAGAAGTTAAATACCAGAACAAGATTCCTCGTAAACGCCGTCTGGATAACTTGCCTAGGCTAACGTTGCCATTGGTTTGTCATTATGCAACTATGAAGGATGCATTATCCGTATTACGAATCGTATCGTTGAAAATTACGCCTGTAAAAATTACGCGCTTATTATCGTAATTAGAGATTTTTTTTCCCTCCTCCAGCCATCGTAGCGAGAAGCAAGAAATGCGTTGCAGATCCAATTAAATCTCGATCGTTCATTCCGTTCGATATACCACGATCGGTTTGCATATTTTCTCGAGAATATCGTTAGGAATGAAACGAGAACAAAACTCTGAGTTAACGATCTCGAGCTGATAAGACTTCTTGAAGTTTTTTTCTTGAAACAAATATTGTAATTGGACTGCAAGCAGATGCAGACCGTAGACTGTTTGTGCAATTTTCTTACGCAATTTTTATGAGTGTAAGAAAATTGCTAAAGAATAGAGTCTAAGTAGAAATTTAATAACAAATATCTGTATTCCATATATTTTTACATGTTCTATACGTTCTGTAGATGGCAGAACTTCAAATTCCTCGAAAATGTATAAACACCCGCGATCCAACTACAGCACTTTGTTTTAAGTATGTTATATTATGCTGTATAAATTTTACATTTGATAAGATGATACGTTGCTTCGCATGGATTCAAGAAAATTAGGTCGATCGAACGATCGAAACGAGCAAACAAAAAAGAAAAAGAAGTTGAAACGTGAAAAAGAAAAAGGAAATTTATTATTAACGCGAAGGGGAAAATAGAGAAATTTATGGGGGAATAAAAAGATATTTCGTTTGATAAACGAGCAGAGTATTATTTTTCCGGTCACGGTGAAGAGTACAAGTGATCCCATCGCCATGGAAATTTACCGATAACTGAACGACGCTCGTCCGCCATTGCTATATTATCGCAATTATGATTTAATTGCGCGACAATGATAATGAAGGGAATTCACGTGCTAATAATAACAGGCGGAATAAACAACGACCAGGCTGTGCCATCGACCGAGAGAAATGACAAATGGACAGGATCAAGATCTAGGTTGCGGTGGAGAGAGAGAACACTTGGAGAGAGCAAGATCATAGGACACGGCCGCCTGCCTGTAAAATGAGATTGTTCGAAACGAATAATTGAAACACAATATTCAGGCTAATTTACAATGTCATTATTGTAAATATAACGAGAATAATAGTGATAATGTGCGATAATAAATGTTGTGGCAAAAGGAATTAATTTCACAAGCACTCTACGAATGAATTATAATTATTAATTGATTTTGATGAACAAGTGATAAATAAAAAATTAATTTGTGCAGAGCACAACAATTATTTTTAGATGGACGTAGAAGATAGCTGGAGGAAAATGTAATATATATTATCATCTTTGTTAAAATTATCCAATATAAAATATGTACGTTTAATAGAAGCTTGAGATAATGCACATGATAACTAATGACACGGCTGAATGTTGGTTTGATAGTAAATAACAATTCACGATAGCTTCCTTTCTATTAAAGTAATTTTACATTATAATTTTACGATCACGGTTCATTATGGAACTATTGGTTTTCATACGTGCTGTTTTTATACTGTGAAACGTATATGTTTTGCACAGTTCAAATACAAGACACGAACCAAAAGGTACAAAGTGACGAAGGAAAATGTGACAATAACAACAAACGTAATTGTAACAATAATATTTTTAAAAATATTATATTGATCGTAAAATTTCCTATAAACGCACAAAAATTGGTAGTCTGTTAATACGATTTGTCATAAAATTTCTTTCCATTATTTCATGGCTTTCGTTTCGCGTCAATATATTCACAAACAGATCAGTTAGATGATGTAGAAAGTACGTAACGACGAGTATTCGCGTGTTAAAAGAACTCGGCTCATTTAGCTTTCATCCCATGAGAACGCGTGGCACCGTGACGTGTCATAAAGCCCGAGTCCGCCGACATAACACAGTTTCAAAACGCGCGCGGCGTCCGCGAGTAAGTGAACTTTACGACTGTGGCCGGACTGTCGAGCGAAATTAAAAAATTACGCGATGAAAACTGCTTGCGATGTGATGGCGCAATGTTTTATTACCCCGTCCCCTACGCACAAAGTTTTTTATTAATGTACTTGCAAGTGCATTACGCGCAACTGTAATCTTTTCGACAATGATAATCGCCGTTTCACGCCAGTCTACGAAAATAATTTCGTCTAAAGTCACGTTGCACGTGATGATCGTGTTATATGCAAGAACGTTAGCCCGAGAGAGACAGAGACAGAGACAGAGATAGAGAGAGAGAGAGAGAGGCTTATCTTCGTCCGTGTGCTTTTGTCACGCAACCGCGAATTTAAATAACGCAGTTGCATCAAGTTACGCGAAGTCGCGAACGGGTAACAAGATGATTTTAAAATTACATAGACGAGCACAAATCCTGGATGTTAAATATTGTGAAACATGCGAACAGTTTTTAATCATGATGCTGAATACTAGTAGAGATAATCGAACGTCCTGTGGATAATTATTGGACGGAGGTCAATTACTTTTATGTAGCTTTTGTACTAAATATTTCAATTGTAATGTAATAAGATACATAAAAGATATATAATATATAATATTTTACTATATAATTTATAATATATTTATTATTATTATATCATTTAATTTGTATAATTTATAACATAATTTTATTATATATTATATAATATTTTATTATAATATTACGTTAAAAGATAACATAACATCTCGAGTATAGCATATTATAGCATTTCAATTGTAATATTTCGAAAAGACTTTGATACTTCAACGTCAAAAATATTAAATTTTGATATTTTAATATTAATATTTTACACAAATTTTAATATTTTAATATTAAAATTTCGACACAAAGTATTAAACAACATTCAAACTTGTCTCTTATTATGAAGACACGCGGAATCTTCAAAAATTTCACTGACTTTTCAAAAAAAATAAAAAAATAAAAAAACATAAATTTTCTCGTCAGAAACGAATATTTCACAGAATCGAAGTGACGCGGCGAGAGTACGTTAAGTGAAAAATAAAACGGGACGATAAGCTGAGGGTTGGCCGCGGAACAGCGGTGATAAATTCGAGTCGTTGAGGGATTTAGGGTGAGAACCACGTTTCCTGTGTCCTAATGACACGTCGGCCATAAAGCGTCGACTCGTAACAAGGGATCGAAGGTTACAAAGCGAAAACAACTAGCTGGGAACGCGGGGTGGGACAAGCGTGCAAAGCCGTTTCCATGCTCGCAAGCGCGGCCTTATTGCAGCACGGGATACGTATCACGGGATCCTGTTAGTATCTTAGTTGGCTTTATTTCCGTTATCTCTGCGCCAAGCTAAACCGGAATCGCCGTTCCGACACGTACTACCTGTTTACGACTACCCTCGCTGCTTCCCTTGGAGAATCAAGATATTTTCGCGTATGATGCAACTTGACCCGAAGCTGATCAATCCCGCTTGGGGATGATTTTGAATTGAGGGGTGTCTCGCTCGAAGCTGTAGAGAAGAAAGATGCATTTTTTTCAATGACAAGTGGAAAGCGATATTTAAAGCAGAGTCTAAATTATAAATATAATAACATAGAAAATTATTAATATATAATGCTAAATTACAAATAAATAATATAGAAAAGAAATATTAATCTAAGTTTCTCGAATCGCATCTCTTTAACTACGTTCGAGAGTTCACGGTGTGTCTAGTTAGTGAATTTCAATCGTCGATTGTCCGAATCCCGAAGATCGGATTTGAACTTTAGGATGACGATCTTCTCGGAGATCTCTGAAGACACTGAACGTTGTGTAAAATAGGATCGTCTGTAAATTCGAGGGACTTCGATAACAAAGTAACTACCGATTACTAAAGCGCAGATTTAAGAAATTCTGTTCAACGGGGAATTTTTATTAACGAACTCGAAGATCGAATAAAATCTCTTCCGTGCCTTTCGCAGTACCCTTACCTCACGAACCAATGAAACAAACGACGACTCGCACGCGAGTATCCACTCCAACAACACGCTCGTTTCTCAACAGTCTGAGGAAAGGCCAGCCATCATGGATCTTGGAATATTACGGCAGATATTTATCGGGACCATTTGTAAGTAATCGAAACGATACGGGAAACGTAAATCATCGAAATCCGAAATGGAGCTTCGTCGGAAGGGGAGAGGAGAAATTTCAAATTGTTCGTCGTTGTGTAGGCAACCTTCTGATCATCGACAGCGGATTGAACGAGGGATGGAGCACACTTATTATACCGAAATTCGAGCAGGACGATCCTTTGAGAGTGTCCAGCGACGAAATGGTATGGATAGTGAATTTCTTGTACGTCGGTGTCGGCCTCGGCTCGGTGGTGCCGTTTCTTTTGATGGACAGGATCGGTCGCAAAAGAACTCTGCTGTTCGCCACGACACCAAAGATTGTCAGCTGGATTTTGATCGGCTTGGCAAATACCGTTCCGCAGCTTTACGTTGGCAGGATATTGGCCGGCGTTGGATGTGGAATTACGTACGCTGTAATGCCTATGTACTTGGGCGAGGTTACCAGCAAAACCACTCGCGGCCCGTTAGGTAGTATTCTGATTTTTATTTTTTTTCTATCGTTCATTTATAATATCAGAATTATTTGTATTGTTTATTTATTTTTATTTATTTCAATATTTTAATAATAATAATTTAATATATTTAATATTTAATAATATTAATATATTTAATATTTAATATTCAATAATATTAATATATTTAATATTTAATAATATTTTAATAATTTCAGTTTATTTATAATATTAGAATGTTGCAGATGATATGGTTAAATCTTTATCTCATAGTTTACAATTTTATTCAAACTTGCATAAATCAAGAATCTTTCGTTTGTTTTTGGTATTTATTTCTTGTTAGTTCCATTTGGATTGTTGATTGTACATAGTATCGGATTTTTCCAAGTTGTTTATTGCTAGTATCACATTGCCACGGGCGATATTGTGGAACATTCATACGTTCAATTCTATTCGAAATTACATCAATCGTCAAATTGAATTGAGCACAATCATTGTTACATTTGTGACGTGAAATGGAAATCGATCCAAGATCAATTTGACTAGTTATAACGAGACGAATCTGTCGTTACGCTATATTTGACTAGTTTCAAACTTGAAATTAATAACGATGAACGAATTCTGTAAATCTGACCTAAAATGGAACTTGTTACATTTGCAACAATCTAATACTTTCTTATGATTCGTCACTTATTTTTATTTTTGTTTCTTTCGATTCATTCCCGAGTCTTTTCATTCGTTCTAGATACGAATTCACGAACATTTTCTTGGCCGATACTATTAAAAACTCTGCTTCATCGCACTAAATACTTCGACGCAACTTTAACATATTTAATACTACTAAACACAAAACTCTAATATATCGACACAAGTGGCTTCATGTTGTACAACTATTGCTTGACATACTACCTTTTATTAACGATACAAGATTCTTATTTATCACGATCGTTGATCGATAGTGCCAACAGTGAAAAATAATATCCCCAGGAATAATAATAATAATAATAATAATAATAAAAAAGAAATTTTATAGAAACCGTACAAGCGTCCAATTATTCAAGGCTCGCTCGAGGGAATTTTCACATTCCTCCCTACGGAAGATAGAAAATAACCATCCCCTCAAACGATAATTTCACAATGTAACCGCGATTCATCTCCAGATCCCCTAAGAATCTTCAAGAAATACAAAGGAAAAAAAAAAAAAAACAAAAAGAAAGGAAATAAACTGTCTCGACGATCCTGCAAGATAAGCAAACAAAGTTGTAATGGCGCAGGTACGCTGATGGCGGTGCTTCTGAACGCGGGCATGATGTTAGCGTACGCGATCGGCTTCTGGGCGTCACGTTTCACCATGTCGATGATCTGCGTGACGTTACCCTCGTTGTTCCTCGTGACGTTCGTCTGGCTGCCGGAGAGCTCTGTGTTCCTCACGAAGAAAAACAAGCTGACGTCCGCCGAGAGGACGTTGAAGTGGGCGTTAGGGAAGGACGACGTGGTGGAGGAATTGGAGGAGATCAAACGGATCGTGGCTACGGAGGACTGCAACGCCGACCAACCGCTGAGAAGATCGTTGAAGGAGATGTTCGCCAGGCGTGCGAATCGCCGTGCATTTCGCATCGGGGCGATCGTCATGAGCGCGTTGACTCTAACAGGCGCGATACCGTTGCTCGCTTATCAGTCGTTCATATTCGAGGAGGCCGATTTCGCGATCTCGACCAACATTAGCATCCTGATCACGGGGCTGGCGATCGTGATCTCTGGTAGCGTGTGCGTGATACTGGTGAGGATCACCGGCAAGAGATTGCTGCTGTTGATCTCGGCGCCGGTCTGTGTGCTGTCGCTGGCGACGATGGCGATCTTCTTCGAGCTTCAGTCGAGCGGCCACGACGTCTCCAAACTACGATGGATACCGAGCGTGTTCCTGGTGATTTATATCCTCGGATACGGGCTCGCGCTCAACCCGATCCCGTTGGCCTACATGGGCGAGATCTTTCACGTCGACGTGAAGGTGACCGCCGCGATACTCTCCTCGCTCTATTACGCCGTCTCCACCATTGCCATGGTAAAATTCTATCAGGTAGGTCTTTAAGAGATGATCGACCAGGCGTCCGATAGGATTTCGGCTCACCGTGGTGCGACGGGTTTCCTCTTTTATCGAGCTCGGTTGAATTTTCAGAATTTCCTCGGGGAAAGAGAGTGGAAATATTCTTCTTACCTTACTTTACTTTATTTTATTTCGAACTAACTTTCGAATTAAATATTGTTCATTTAATTCTATTAAATTAAATATTGTTCATTTTTAATTGGGCAAGCGAAAGTATTTTTTTTTTTTTTCTTTTTGCAGAGAAACGTTAACTTCGCTTAGTTTTATTTCGATTGCAGATAATTGGCAAAGATCATTTATAACACGTGCCAGAGAAAATCGTCGTCCTCTGATGTAACAGGTTCGCGCAAGACGGAATAATTGTCTCGCCTTATTCGTAGGTGCTTCAAGAGTCGTACGGAACGCACACGCCGATATGGGTATTCACTGTGATTACTTTCTTCATATGGTTGTTAATTTATCGATACGTGCCGGAGACTGAAGGGAAGACCTTGGAGGAAATACAAATGGAATTGTGAAGGAGAAGCTTCCAATTTCTGTTGACTCGATTCGGCATTGTGAATTGTTTAATAAAAAAAATGTACGATTTCTATACTTGGAAGTAATGTATATGTTTCTTTTTCCTTATTTTATAGCGTTATTTGCGATGTCAATATGTACGTGTATGGCGTGCAGAGTAGAACTTTGAGTTATACTGAACTCCGCAATATGAAAATCCCTAATATGGAATTTAGTCGAGCTTTGAATATTTAAAGGAAATTATTAGCTCATCTGGAGATGTTCTAACTTTAATCAGAGTTCCAACAGTGTTCAATGTATAATAATCTCTTGTCTTGCGAATTAACAATGACGGCGTATTGTTGAATTAGAAAGCTGGTTTTCTGCTAATTAAAGTCTTCAACTGTTAGACCAGCTGATCAAACAAGCAATTTATTCCGTTGCAATTTATTCGTGTAAATAAGAAACGTGCACGACTAGAATTGAAAGAAAAAAAAAAAGATAGAACGATAATTTTATACTTTATTCTTTCTCTTAATTTAGAAAAACGAAACGAATAATCATTTAAGTATCATTTAACGCTTCTGGAACAACGAGTCTGTCAAACATTTATGCGCGCTCGTACGTTTACGAAGAGATTGTGAACTCGAGACAATAGTTGTTTTTTTTTTTATCTCGGTCTTCCTCTTTCAATTTACAGAAATTGATCGAATCCTTCTGATACTCGTCTACATTTTAAAAACTTAGTTACAATACTGAAATACATCGTCTTACGCTTAGAAATTTCAAACTGCAACAATTGCACGAAAATCCACGAGTTCAACCCTTAAATTAAAAACGGCTCATCCAATAATCCAAAACTCCAAACGAACCGCGACGGATTAACACTTTTCAGTATCAAGAGAATGAAAAATTGAAAGATTAATGTTAAAAGCGAAAACCAAATGAAAATTAAAAATTCAACTCGAAAGCTAAAACAAACAATACAAATAAGATAGATCTTACGCGCTGGAAAATGTCCAACGACGCGAAAGATCGAGTATATTGCACTGTAATATTTCAAAATGACAGTCATTGCTAAAAAGAAAAGTACACAAAAGTATACAAAAGCTCGCGTTGCCGGTCAACGTGTTCATATCACGGCCGCGAAAATGTCAAAAGGAGGAATTAAAATCGCAAACGCGAATTAGGTAAACACGCGACCGTGGAAAGTCCGCGGAGGAGGAGGAGGAGGAGGAGGAAGAAGAAGAAGAAGAAGAGCGGGGAAAAAAAAGAAGAACCGGCGAAAGAGGTGTGCGGGTGGGGGAAGGGGGTCGGTGATCAATACCGACGTGCTCTTGATTCCTTCGGAATCAGGCAGGACGGAGAGGGCAAACTGTAATTTCGACAAATTACACTCGAAACTGCGTCAGAGGTTGGTTGGGAGGGGGTGGTTGGAAGAGGACCGTGGGACTCGTTTGATCGCGAAGTTCGCTGTCTGCAAAGAGAATCGTTAAGCAGCGATATCGCTGGCGTCGAGTCTCTCCTCTTCCCTCTGTCACTCTCTCTCTCTCTCTCTCTCTCTCCCCCTCTAAACTATTTGAGTTTCCGTTTAAAAAACGCGCGTGCCGCGTAACCGAACTCCGCTGGAAACGCGACGCTGCAAGCTTTCTCGTTTCGTGTTTATTTAGAGCGGGCTGCCGAGGATTTGTTTGCGCTCGCCGCGTCATACGAAATTTTCCCGGGCCAATGTACACACTTTATCTCCTCCTCCACCTCCACCCCCCTCGCGACGATCTAGCGAGCTCTAATGATCCTTTCGCCCTTTTTCCCTGGTTCTCTCACTCTCTGGCCCGCGCTCTCTTTTCTACTCTCCTGTTGTTTCCCTTCTTGCGTTTTCTGTGTTTCTCTGTTTACATCCTTGTTGCTTTCGTTTTTCGGTTTTCGGTCCGTTGGTTTACGGGCAGGGTTAAATTGGCAGGGTTTGGACAATTCGAGCGCGTTGTCATAGTATCGCGGGACCGTTTCGGAATTGGCTGCAGTTTACAAACTTCTTTCCTCATTCTCTCTCTCTCTCTTTTCAAGTTGCTGCACTCGTGAATTTAGTCGAGACTGAAAGAAGAATTTGCGGGTTACAACGACGAAATCCGTGGCACGACGTTCCACCATTTTTATTTTTTTCATCTTTTTAGGAAAAATTCGTTCAAAATGTTCCATTATCGCGAGAACTCGTTTTGAATTCTATGCCTCAACATTTGATAATTACCTTATTAATTGTTTCGCGATGTAATTTATTTGAGAAGGAGAAAATGAATCGAGCCGAAAGGAAGAGAAGAGATTCAACTCGACTCGAACAGTTAGTCGGATTATTGCAGCCACTGGAACGTGACGATTATCTGAAACAGCGTGAGATCGAAACAGAGCGCGGAACAAGCGAAAGGAGGGAAATGGCGGGGAAAACAAGGCAGTATTCTGTTCGATCAAAATTTTTTATTTCGCCGCGTTTACGCGAGACCTGGTGCACGACGCTTAAACAGAGTACAAACAACATGGTTCGCATGTGTAAATGAAATCGTTTCGCTTCTCACTTGCTCGCACCAAACTGAAATTACTCTACCGGATATTAAAATTTACACATTACTCCTCCGGTGAAAATGACCGGCGCTTTTGTTTATTTTCCTCGCGCAATAAGTCGCTCTGCATCGTAATTGAGCGGACATTTTCACGGAAGATCCTTACCTTCTTAATTACTTCGATGTCCTTCGCGATATTCATTTTCAAAAAAAGAAAAAAAAATATTCACATCCAGACATTTAACCTCTTGCGTTGGAATGACGTGCCACGCACGTCGAGAATTTTTCTGTCCCAAATTGCAACATTTTCTCAGTTTCAAGTTTATTTAAATGTAACTCGGGCAAAATAAATGATAAGTTTACTATTTTTTAATAATTTCTACCCAGTGATATCATACCGACGAGTTCGAAAGAAAAAGAAAGCAACGAAATTATTGTACACGGTTCGGTCACTCGTTACGGTCCGCGAACCAATTGCCAGCGCAAGAAGTTAAAAATAAAAATTCAGACACACGATGCTAATTCCTTAATGTAACAGTTTCGTGGAATAATAGTGATCGTTTAACAAAAGAAAAACCGTATTTATTTATTTTTCATTGGCACGATAGTTCAAATTTTATAGAAAATTGCGCCAATAAGCTATATTCCTTTACAGTATAGTTTACCGTTTCTTCGCCCATTATTCGCTAATTGTTCAAGTATCGAACAGAAAGAAACACAGATACGCAACAATTTAAATTTTCTAACGTAACGGTACTCTCGTTTTTCTCAATTATGTAACAAGAGACGTTTGATCCAGACGATATAAATAAAAAGGCTGCGAGAGCGACTTTATTAAAATTTCGAGTGAAATTCCACTCCTTTCTCCCGCAAAAATCCCGCTTTTGTATTACTGCCGGCGTTCCTGGAATTGGCCGGCTGGTTTCTCCAAAAATTCCATCACACCACACAATATTCCTCGCAATTGAAGTCCACCTCGATCATCGTTTTTTCTCACCCTTCTATCTAACGCTTCAACAAAGAACCGCCTCCCGGTATTCTCGATTTTATAAACCTTCGACGCAAATGGCCGTTCGCGGCTTTGACAGTGGCAATCTCGTAATCGGGATATACATACATATATTCGAATACGCCGCGCGATGGAAGACAAATAACTGTTGAAAACGGAAAATTCGTCGTAGAGCGCTAAATAACAACTCGGTCGAACTTTTGTGCGAAATCTAGACTCTTAAATAAACAGCACTGCACTCTCGAAATACTTCGTTTGAGCTTAAATAAATCGACAATGGTAGCTACAGAGAATATGGAACTGTACTTTCTATCAATTGTTATACAAAAGAATGTATGTACATTCGTATCAATCGGAATTAAAATTAGAATCAGAACATTCAAATCACGAAATGTTCTAATCTAATAAAACACGCAACTGTATCGCACACTCGTGACAAAACGCGTCATATTTGTAAAAATTATTACACGAATCAACGATTGACACTCATTGTGCAGACATAATGTTGGTACGACGTACAAAAACCAGTAAATGTGAATGTACAAACGTTTCAACCAGAAAATAGCACGTGTGTGCGTTTGGCAGTCATTCATCATGTTAATTGACGAGTCACTCTCTCGTCATTAATCCATCACGCGAGAATTCGGTTACTCGCGAGATATTAATACATAAATCACAGGTACGCGGGTTGTCAAATCGCGTGCGAAAAAGAATTGATACCGCAAGATCGACGTACTTTTACAGCGACGAAAAGGAGTCGAACTAACGTAACCATCCATTTCTTAAAACGCTGTCCAGTCGCACAGGGCTCGCCGTGACAAACTATCAAATCGCCTGATGCCAGAGAAATGCATGCGTTCACGGTGCTGGGCCAGCCAAGGGCAGTTGCACTCCGCGCGGCCGCTCTAAGCCAAACCAGATATGAAATCCATCCCCCTCAGTATATTATGCACGTGCGTAATCTACGTATGCGTGTGTGTCTTACGTATCACTTACGCAGTGGACATGGCGGTTATGTGTTAATGCGTTCCTGTGCTCGCGAATTGGCCTCACACGTGTCTCGAATACGTGTGACGGTGACAATATGTACGTGGGTGAGCGCGCGCGCGCGCGCGCGCTGACGCACGGGATCAAGATTGATAGGGTACAAATCGCAACACGTACGAAGCATCCACTTAGCAGTGCATTATCCCGATGAGAATGTGTACAGGCCTGGATCTCTTACCTAATGCAACGGTTGCAATCCTGATAATAGCAGCCACTTGTCCGCGGAGGAGCAGGCTTGAAACGGGACTAATCGGCAATTTCGACCGTTCCGCGAGAACAATCCTCTCGTCGAAGCGAAAGAAACGCCGGGAAACACCGAGATACTCGTTCCGTTAAATATTGCAACGAGCGTTGCATATTGATATTCGTTTTATATATTTACTTACGCGTTACGTGTACCTTACACACGTAATTTTTGCTGCTTTTTTGAAAATAGAAAATCTGCCTTGTGCGCTAATAATATAACGAGTGAACGTTGTATTACATCG